AGATAGTATTTAGATAGTTAGTAATTAGATTAATTTTAAATATTTTGAAGTTAGATAATTTAACCTGGAGATATTAGCATGTATTTGCTATCTTAAATTCAAGTATAAATAAAGTTATTGTCATTGTCATTGTCAACGCGCAATGAATTCGACTGGGCAGAACACAAAACCTCCCGCAATATTGTGAAAAAAACTCTCTTTGAAGCTGAAAAACATCATACATACCAAGAAGTCCAAAACAATATGAATAATTCGAGATCCCTTTAGAAAGTGATCAACAACAACATTTCATCGAAAACACAAGAGAAACTTGTCTAAACTTGTCTAAAGACCTCAAGAGTGTGGCAAATGTGTTTAATTCATATTTTTCATCCGTAGGAAGTCGCACGGCTGAAGCTGTTGCAAAGCTGGCATTAGGATATAATATCATCCCTTCAAACTCATTTACACCAGATCTTATATCATCTTCCGATGATTGCTTCGAGTTCACTCCCGTGAGCATCGAAATTTTGAAGCGTGTCATCTTGTCTTTACATTAAGCAGAGGACCCGGACCCGACAAAACCAAAGCTAGAGTTTTCAAAGACGCCCTACAAGTAATACACGGGCCTATTACTGAGATAATCAACTACTCACTCAGTACCTCTACTTTACCATCAGACAGGAAGATCGCTGAGGAAGATCTCCGCTCCTAAAAGAGGGAGATCACGAAGAACCTCTAAACGATCGGCCATTGTCACTACTTAATGTTATGTCTAAAATTTGTGAGGAAATTGTTCTAGAACAATTTATCACCTACCTAACGTCACGTAACCGTTTGTCATTCCGTTTGTCATTCCATCCTTGAATATTTATACTACTGATCTAATTTTAGAGACGATGGACAAAAAGGAAATCAGCGCATTAGTCGTACTCGACCTCTCAAAAGCTTTCGACAGTATTTGCCATCATAAGTTACTCCAGAAGCTCTCCGCTGTAGGTACCTCACCCACCGTAGTTCAGTGGTTCCGCAGCTACTTTTCAGATCGGATCCAATCAGAGCGTATAGATTCTGTGTTATCAGATCCATTACCAATCACACACGGAGTCCCCCAGGGAGCGATTCCTTCGCCGCTCCTCTTCTGTATTTATTTAAATGTTCTGCCAAACGCTACTCAATTCTGCCAGCTCGAGTCATACGTCGATGACTCTAAAGTTTTGCTATCTTTTCCCATAGCCGACGTCATTGAAGCTAAGTTCAAGCTCGAAGATGATTTGCGTAATGTTGCCAATTGGTGTTGCGCAAATGATTTGTAAATAGACCCTGGGAAAACGAAGTTCATGTTGATCGGCACTAAGCAAAATGATAAGTAAACATTCTGTTAATTTAACTGTTTCATTTATTGGAAGGACTCTCACGGCCGTCGAATCGGCAAGAGATCTAGGAGTATACATCGATTCACATCTGACCTATGATACCCATATCTACCATTAGGAGTTATATATCTAGTGGGGATTAGTATGTAATTATTAGTATTTTTATATGAGGTTTTATGAGTCTTTCGCTTTTAAACCTATTGTCATTTGTTTATAGTTATATGTTCGGAGATACTGGCACATAAATCCGAATGGAAATAAAGTTTATGTAGGTATGTATATCTCCCACCTAGTCTCTTCTTGCTTGACTAAACTGGTTCAGATCAACCGTGTGAAATACTGTTTCGATAGAGAGACTTTAGTTTTAATTATTTAATTAGCAAAATGTTCTACTGTTCGTCCGTGTGGTCTAATACCTCATCTAAGAACATACAAAAGCTGCAACTCATCCAGAATTTCGCCTGCAAAATCCCCATGATCTGCGGCGCTCGGAAATTAGATCATGTAACGCCATTACTGGATGAACTCAACTGGCTTCCAGTTGACAAAATACTCAAATTCAGAGACGCTGTTATAGCTTATGAGTGTGTCAACAATTTAGCTCCTGAATATCTATGTGCTAAGTTTAAAAAACGATCTTCTGTACATAATCGCACAACTCGTAATAATGAGAAGATTGACATTCCATTATTCAGATCAGCTACCGGCCAAAGGTCCTTTGCCTATAAAGCAGTATCTCTGTGGAACATGTTAGACGAAGACCTGAGAAACGTTACATCTGTAAAGGCCTTTAAGATAGTCCTGAAACTTGCCATGAACGAATGATCGACTGACAGTTAGAATTTAGAATTTAAAAATAGCTTGTCAGATATAGTTAGCAATCATATTTGTAAATAGGTACAGAAAAACCTTTTTTTGGGAGTATTTATCATTAAAGTTTAAAGTTTAAAGTTTCTGTTAGAGGGATGTTAAGGTTCGAAGCAACCGCGTTTCTGGGCTTTTTCATCGTGATCCCTAAAAAGGGGAAACATTGAACATTTGGAACGAGGTTGGGTTTAGGAATTTCTCAAGGGACTTTAAAAGGTCAAAATTTTACTCAAAGCTCAAAGTGTCCGGAAATAGAAGTTCGGTTCAAGCAATGAATTTAGCATATAACAGTACTCAAAGCTCTATGTGACAACCTGAAAGAGAAAAATCTAAGGAAAGTGCAAGGTCTCGGGAAAGTCTTTTTTTTTAATTTGTCATGGGCTGAAAATTTGTCATAGTTTGAAAAAGCCAATCATCGACTTAAGGTGGTTCCCTTGAGTCTTTACGAATAAACCTCCTTTTAAGACGAGAGTTAAGAAAGGAAACCTAGTTAATTTCTCTCAGTTTTCCCTGGTTCGGCTAACGATGAAATAAAGCTTTTGTCATGATTGGGCGTCAATTTTTACTCTTATGTTACGATGGCACTATTATTTCTAATGACAGGCAGATGTGTTCCAATTTTTTATACCTAAATATCTTGATATCTTTACTTTGCCACGTACTGTGAAATGTTTATATTCTTTGCCACATTATGGAAATGATATTGTCTAACCTTTGGAAAAGGTAAGAACTCAAGGTCGTCCACACAGCTTTGCCAATATTCTTTAATTTGTCATTTTTCTAGATGTATTCGATTGGCTCCGACAGATTCTAGCAAAAACAGGCTATTTGATAGGAACTGTATGTGGTTAGGACTGCCAATTTTCCAAAAAACGTACCGAAGGAAATGCGATAAATATCACCAGTAAGTCACCCTTTTCCTTACTCTCAAAACATAACGCCATGAAATAACACTTCGCTAAGATCGAATGTATAAGCTTTTGAATCTGATGCCGATTTTTTTGGGAATTTCGCAATCTCTACCCTGATGTGTTCTTTTGGTTGACCTCTTTTTCGGGCATAGAGGGCCAATAAACATCATGGGTATAGTTGCTAGAAAACCTAGGGTCCAATAGATAAAAGCTTTTGTTCTAATAATCGTGCGATCGCATCGAGCCGCTATGCTTGTTTTGCATGTTGGCATTTTTGTCCACATCCAGATCTCGCGCATGCAGTCAAAAACCCTATGGAGCCTATGACTGAGTCGAAATGAAAAATGAAAACAAGTCATCAGAGGTTGAGATGTGGAAAGCGAAAGTGTTTCCGGCTTTGTTAGCATACAAAAATCACTGAGGACAACACACTCCATTCTCTGTGCATTCCATCAATTCTGACATAATTTTCGTTTTTATAACATCTGTGTTGTCAAGACTCGAACGCTATCTAGTCGAAAGATTTGGTTACAAATCGTTTAATTAATTTACATCTTCATTAAAACATGAAACGAGGCCTAGTCGTAGATTGAGGCGCTCTTAAACATTTTCACGCCATGGTGGAGATCATGTCTGTAAACCTACTTGATGTTATGGTATTGAGTCAGAAAGCAAAAGAACGGAAAAGATCCATTTTGGCCTTTTCCTGAAGCCTTAAAAGTATACTTAAACTGGAAACTGAAGATCCGTTCTGGTAATAAGCAATAACACATCATGTTCTTCTCGATTTAAGCATAGTTAAATTAAAGCATCGGTTGAAACGTCTCTACATAATTTAGAGAATAACAATGGAAACATGATCTACAGAGGAAGATGGTAGTTCTGCCGACAGTTATACTGTTGTTTATGAGGAAAGCTATTCGCCCCTTCTACAGCTAATTAGTATGACGCTTACCGTCAATTATGTGACTAAAAGCCTTCAACTAGACCTAGAAACTCCAACACTGTGGACCTATGAAGTACGACCTAATGAAGACATCAAACATAACTTACCGTGATGCAACAGTTACATGTAATTCCCGTTTAAATGAGACATAAAATGTAAAACATATCCGAAGCGAAACTTAGAAATCTTCTGTTTCGTTTATACAAAGCCCCCGTTATAGAGTGCCCGTATTTTATAGAAAGCGTTCCGTTACGGAATTACTTAAAATAGAACTGAGGACTGAAGTTTCTGAAACGCTTAATCCTACTGACTCATTAAGAACTCTTAATTGAACTTTCCCATATTTCGTTATTATGTAATAGTGATGTTATGATACCAAAAATACTTGTATTACAAATCCCCGGAATATTCTAGAACAGTTAAAGTTAGACCTTTTTCTGTGAGTTAGTGTTGTCGTGAAGAGGACAGAGGAGCTAGTGTTGTTATTAATAAAGTAGTTGAGTTGGTACGAGTTGTATCTTTGTCGGTTGAGAAAATACCGTAACACCCCGCAGAGCCTCGTTCTCGGCAGGGCGGAGAGAGCCCTGAAGAGCCCAGAGGAGCTAGTGTTGTTACAGAGCCGGCTAGAGAGGTTCGTTGGACTCATTTACTATTACTGGAATCGTCAGCTGTGTGGAAGGCTACATTCAGAAAAGTTTTGAGGACATCGATAAGTCACAAGGATCTTTGAAGAGAACTGTGAGTTGTGCAGTAATACACTGAGATTATAGTTTTATACATAGTTAAGAGGATAGTTATTGTATTGGTTACTGGTATCGCTTCGCAGGAAGACTATTACGTCAGTTAATAAAGTAGTTGAGTTGGTACGAGTTGTATCTTTCTGTCGGTTGAGAAAATACCGTAACACCCCGCAGAGCCTCGTTCTCGGCAGGGCTGAGAGAGGCTGGAACCTCTCCCTGCCCTACTATACTCTCAGGGACCTCTCTTTCAGGAAAATCAAAGGACCCTTGGCCCGTAAGAGTTTGAACTTCTGCGTTGCAGGTTTGCCGTCAAGTACGCAATGCTGGACTGCAATGCGTACATATACCGTGGCGCTCATTGGGTGTGGAACATCGCCTTATGGTCCCTATCTTTAATTTCCTCTCTCCAAAGACAAACGACATCGAGGAAAGGTTATGCCAAGAATATTGCAGGGTATGCTGAAATGGGAGCTATTCACCATAAAAAAAAAACAAAAAAAACAACTATAACAATCTTCCAAACAAATAAAAAACAACATAGTCAAATCTTTCTTAGTAATGACTGAAAACGAGTCAACAATTCTATACCAGCCGAAAGAAAGAGAGAGAGAGAGAGAGGAAAAAATGTCCATAAAATATAATTCTTTATTTCCAGACTCCAATTGTTATATTTACATCCTAACGACAATTTTGCCCACAGTGTGATGAGATAGTTGCCAGAGGGTTTCACAGGCATCCTCCAGAGACACAGTATGGTGAATGACCGGTCTGAAGGAGAAAACAGAAACATAGTTGGTCCAGTAATTTAAGTGATAAAAGTCTGAGTCGCCCATATCGCGATCTTAAAGGAACTGTAACTTTCAGCAAAAGAACTGCAGAAATTTCCTCTTTTTCACACTCTTCCCCAATCGACCCCTACTCAAATACAACACTTTCTCTGTGGCACAGTTCAAGTACTAGAAGTTTACATCGCACTGAGTGCATTTCTACATCGAAAGAGAAAACCAGGTCTCTTAGAGCGATTTTGTAATAATTGCAGCCATGTTATTTAGTTTCTGCGCATTCCACGACACCATTCATCCACTGATGTATGCTGAAAGAGTCAGGCTCAAATTGTCCACATTCTCCTTGTCTGCGTTTATCATCTCATACCTATTTCTTTTTCTCTTTTTTTCCCCTTCCCTTAAACTTAAATTCGTTTTTTAAGTCTAAAAGTTTGTTTCATCTCTTGAAATTATTAAGGGAATAGATGCGTCCTGTTCCTACCTTATCACTGAGTTGGACAATTTATCCATTAGGTCTTGGAGGATGTCTTCACACAAGTTAAGAGAAAACGTTCAAACTTCGGACAAAATCGAGCACGAACGTCTTTCTAATACGTTGGACAAAAAAAAAGAAAGAACCCAAAGACGTTCGAAGAAAATAGGGCGAGGACGACGAAAAGGGAGTTAAACTGCTACATCACTCTTCGAAGGGAGGGATGGATCCTATTTTCTTCACTTCATAATTTCAGTACAAGTTCAGAGGTTAAGAAAAAAAAGGACTACGAAAAAGCCAACGGTTCTCAAAAGCCCCTTTGGTGGGTTCGTCTTGTTCCACCCTTACGAATGACGAGTATCTAATTTCTCCCTACAATGTCACCCCGAGATAAAAAATTGAGGTCACGAGAATAAAGAAAATGATCACCAACTAAAAAAGCTCTTGATTGTCAAACAAATTCTCCTTGTCAACACCTTAGGAAATGTGCGGAGAATATGCATACTGATGTTAGCGTGTAAAAGATGAGAGGATACGTAGAAATCTTCCTTGTTGACCTAAGGAAAAGACAAACACAAAATATAAATGAAAGGCCTCAAAGAAACGTTATTCAGCCATCACTTGGCCATTTTCCAACTGACGTAAAAACGTAACATCGACTTAATTTACCGCGTTCTTCATAAATCCCCTACCTCTAGATAAAGTCCAGGAATGTTCAAAAAGAAAACTGATCGCAGCTCCTTTTAGGTAAAGCATCTGAGAATCAGGAGGGTCCAACTGGATTTAAGGGAAGTGTTAGTAGTATTTCACAAACTACTGAGTACATTGAGAATAAAAGTTAGAGTATACCTTCTTATGTCTATGAAAGTAAGAATGCTAAAGAAGTGTAGTGAATTGCAAAACTTTATGATTAAGTGTGCTTTTTGATTGAATACAGGGCTGTGGTCCAACAGAGCCTGGGTGCCTTTGGTGATCAAGTTTTGTGTTTGGATGACTTTTCTGTATTTATTTGTCTATTTATTCGTATATATTTATGAAGGCTTGTTGGAGCTGGGCACCCCAGATTTCCTATATTAGAACCCTTAGGCACCCTTCAATTTCCTTAGGGTGCTGCTTTGGAGTATCTTGAAGGCAAAACCAAAATAATGACAACCGCTAATCAAAGAGAAGAAAAATGTGCAAAAAAAATGACAAGAGCCAATCAGAATGGAGAAAATGTGCCAAAAAAAGGAAAAATTGTCCTAAGAGCATTATTAACCTGAAGATCTTGATGAGAAGTGATCCATCTTCCAGCTACTCCAAGACAGGAGATCACATCGTGTTTAGATGGGACTGAATTTTGGCCAGCTAAACCAATGCCTGATCCCTGAATTTTAACATCATTATCTTGCCGTAGAACTGTTAAATAAGAGATTTTGATCAGTTTATTTTTCTACACTCAGAAATCTAATAGCATATTTTATTTTGTTTCAGATGTGCAATAATTAATTTCTTTAAATATGTGATATTAAGAATATAAATATAGTGAATAACAATTAACATGATCTATCAGGTTTCAAAGCAAAAAGAGGGATCTGTAACTTTTGGGAAACTATTTAAAATAATCAAAGTTTGGTTATGTTACTAATCATCGGTGCATTTAAAGTTTTGTACCTCAGAAAATCGTAAGGGAATTACTAAGAAGACGTTTAATTATTCCTTTATTCTAATGGCGTTAAACTTAACTTAACATAATCAACCACTATCCACAAATAGCATAGCTAGTCTCGGTGGGAAGTGTGTGGACGCTAAAATATCTTACATAGATTTTGGTTCAACAAAAGATTCAATAAATATACAAGAAACAGAAATTAAATATTAAATCATTAAGTTAAAAGCAGAAATGACAGTATGAGATAAAAATACAGAAATAGAAACACATGACAATAAATAGAATACATAAGTTATACACTACTTTTAACTGGAATTTTTTTTGACACATCATTGATTGTTCGTTCTATGTCAACATAACTATCTTGAACTTGAAGATTTTGAAATAATATTGTTGTTAGCTTTTTCTTGAAAATATCTTTTGGAAGATTCCTTAAGTTTCTTGGGATGCTATTCCAAATTTTACAAGCAATCCTTGAGAATGAGTTTTTATGTTGATTTAGCCTAGAATAGTTTATGTAATAGTTACTTGACAAAGTTGTAGGTTCAAGAGTCAGACCAAGACTGTTTTTCAAATGGATTCATTGTATAACTGAACCCTTAACACGCTTAAATCAGTAAGTATATTTTCCATACCGCTCTCTATACATTTCCTTAAGTGTTGATGAGGAAAATGTGTTTAACAGTCAAGGGGTAAGGTAAAGTCTGTTTATGAGCCAAGTGGCCCATCAGGCCAGCGCTTAACTCCAGTTTCTGTAGCATGAAGCGACTAGGATAAGGATAAGGATAATTTATTTAATGTCAAAAAGTACACAGAGGGTGGTCTCCCAATCCCCCGAGCCAGAGGCTCATGATAAAAGTGTTTGACAATATAAAAGAAAGCTAAAATTGTAATAGCACCGATTAAATTAGAAATAATGTATATCTAAAAAAAAAAAACAAACTGTACTCCCCCCATCCAAGGGGGAGTATTTCTACCCCCCCCCCTGGATGGGATGCTAGTCCATCGCAGGGTTACCCCCAGAATTAAATATGCCGGTTCCCATTTAAACACCTGGGTGAAGAGAGGCACTGTGAGAGTAAAGTGTCTTGCCTAAGAAAACAACACAATATCTCTGGCCGGGGCTCGAACCCGGACTGCTTGATGCAGAGTCGAGCGCGCCAACCATGAGGCCACCGCACCTCCACAACAGTCAAGAGGTAGATAGGATAAGATAAGATAACGACTTTATTTTAAGAGGGGTAGCACGTAACAGCTTAAGTACAACTGATAACCCTGTGGCCCTCTATAAAGTAATCTAATCGATAGATACAATTAACATAAATGAAAGTAATAATAATTTGATGCACATAATTTAAAAACCTATTAAAAAGAAAAATACATATATATGTATATATACTAACAATTTATAATAATAAAAACATGCTAAAATATCATCATCCATATTATAAAAAGTTCATATCACTATTTTGTTTAAGTAAATTGTTTATAACTTTCTTTTTCAAAGCTTTGGCATTCTTTAGTTCTTTAAGGTCTTTATCTAGGTTATTCCATTCTTTGATTGATAGTTAAATACAAACACATACAAAAAAAGAGGTACTGGTAGTGATCATTTCCTTTACTCTTGTGACCTTAATGGGTGATTCTGGGGTGATATTGTAAGGAGAAATTAGACGCTGGTCACTCTTATGCTGATCATTTCCTTTATTCTTGTGACCTCAATGTGTGATTCTGGGGTGATATTGTAAGGAGAAATTAGATGCTGGTCACTCTTACGCTGATCATTTCCTTTATTCTCGTGACCTCAATGTGTGATTCTGGGGTGAAATTGTAAGGAGAAATTAGATGCTAGTCTCTCTTAGGGATCAAAGGGTTAAGGCAGACCCTCTCAAAAAAAGATTTGTCTGACTTTCTCCTACCTCCATTATCAATCACACAGTCCACGCCAAGTCCACCAGTTTCATCCATGCAAATATCTACTAAGGACTTCTTTGTTTTCCTCAAATCTATTACATTTGCTGTAGTAAGAGACAAAGATTGGGGTAACTTTCACGCCAAAGCATTGGTATGCAATCCATATTCTCCTTACTGTTCTCTACATTTTTGCTACAACACAAAAGTGCATCCAATAGTTTTCAAATTATTTGTTTCAGGACAAAGGTTTTGAAAACATGATAGCTCAAAGAAAATAATGAAAAATAAAGAGCTCTCGTTTAACCTTCATTATGAATGGTTAACCAAATAATGGTGTAATGCTCTTACCAATTGGTGGTTGAAGACTCTGAAGGTAAATAACTTCTTCTTCTGATGATGCTGTTGCAAGAACCTGTCATTATTGTTGGGGAGAATAGCAACTATCATCACATGACTTGTATGGCCCCAACTACATTCTAACTGAGAAAAATTAGGCAAAACCCCCTTATTGGGGGCTGTACCCAATGGCTGTACCGGACAAAAAAAGGCTGTTTCATCAGCAAGATCTGAGTGGCATGAACAAAAGAAAAAAGAAAAAAAGCAGATAAAAGGCTTATTGAATGAATGGGATGGCCAGACAGGAATATGTTTGGTCCTGGTTATAACATGTGAAACCTCACTGTGCTCAGTCTGTACTCTGGAACTTTGTGCCAAAAGTTTTGCTGTCTGGCTCTCGTACTCAGTCAATAAGTACTTGTTTTGAGCTTTAATTGTCAGCTTTCAGATTAAGAAAGGATTAAAATTAAACAACAGACAGAACTTTGGATATATCAACAAAGTTGAAATGGTAAATTGGCCACCATAACGATTACAAAAGCTGACGTTTCAAGCGTTAGCCCTTCATTGGAGTGAATCCTGAAGTATCAGCCTCTGATCTGTTTGGTGGGTCAGTTGTACATTTAACTCCTGAATTAAACAAGGGTGAAGGGGTAACGTTCGAAACGTCAGCTTTTGTAATCGTTACGGTGGCCAATTTATCATTTCAACTTTGTTGATATATCCAAATTATTTTGTTACTCCCACTGACGCAGCCCCAAACAGTTTCTTTCGAAACTATCAGCCTTTATTCATTTGACAGAACTTTGCATTGTCTTTTCTCAACCATACCTTAGCCCCCCAAATATGTGCAAGTTGAATGGCCATAACACCACTGGCCTGAAATAAAGATATTCACATAGTGATCAGCATACTTTGAGCACATATGGCAATCAAAATGTATTTGTGATTTTGATTAACATAATATCATAAAGTATTTTAGCCTTCCAAATTATTTGAAAACGTTCATTGTGCTTTTTACCAATGATTGTAAAATAAAATATTTCNTTCAGGGGTGATATTGTAAGGAGAAATTAGATGCTGGTCACTCCTACGCTGATCATTTCCTCTATTCTCGTGACCTTAATGTTTGTTTCAGGGGTGATATTGTAAGGAGAAATAAGATACTGGTCACTCTTATGCTGATCATTTCCTTAATTCTCATGACCTTAATGTGTGATTCAGGGGTGATATTGTAAGGAGAAATTAGATGCTGGTCACTCTTACGCTGATCATTTCCTTTATTCTCGTGACCTTAATGTGTGTTTCAGGGGTGATATTGTAAGGAGAAATTAGATGCTGGTCACTCCTACGCTGATCATTTCCTCTATTCTCGTGACCTTAATGTTTGTTTCAGGGGTGATATTGTAAGGAGAAATAAGATACTGGTCACTCTTATGCTGATCATTTCCTTAATTCTCATGACCTTAATGTGTGATTCAGGGGTGATATTGTAAGGAGAAATTAGATGCTGATCACTCTTACGCTGATCATTTCCTTTATTGTAGTGACCTTAATGTGTGTTTCAAGGGTGATATTGCAAGGAGAAATTAGATGCTGGTCACTCCTATGGGTTCAAAAGGTTAGACTATACCTGAATGTCAGCTGCGCTGGTATTAAACCAAAACAGTGGCCAAAAAAGACAACTCCTTTGTGTAAAATACTCACCAAGGCCCCATTGAATATCAATATCGTCTCCCCTCCACATACTCTGGCTTGGTAGTATAGTGCAGTGTAAGCTTTCACAACATCACCAATGCAACCAGCAGCATCTATATGATCCACCTTCTCTGGTTTCCTGGCTGAACATAAATTCCATTTAAGTTATAACTAACATTTTTAATCAGTAATATTCATTTTATTGATCTGAGCCAGAGAGAATGAAATAGAGAAAAAAAAAATCGAGAATTTATACATGCCAAGAGCACATATATATTTTTCAAAGGATCAATTTAACACATAAATTTTGCAATGGCTTCACTATCTCAAACTGTACCTCTATTAAAGTATTTTGCTGAGTAACTGGGCCCCCCCCGGTTAGCTCAATTGATTAGAGCGCCGGATTGTGTTGTGGGGGAGGTCAAGGGTTCAAGTCCCAGCCAGACCAATACTCATGGTCTTAAAATAACTGAGGAGAATTTGCTATCTTTCTATAATATCAAGAAATGGATAGATATTCTAGTCTTCTCGGATAAGGACGAATAAACCGTAGGCCCTTTCTCCTGCAGGGTTAGGGGTAGGAGACACTAATTTCCCACGCACAAAATTACTGTGTGATGGATGTCCTCCCCTGGAGTGGGATGGGTGGGTTGTTGTCTTGCGTTTCATACATGAGCCTCTGGCACAGGCAATCAGTGGGTGACCATGCCCCACATAAAGACATTAGACTTTAATTACTATTACTATTACTATGTATATCTTGCTATTTGGGAGAAGGAATCGGATCGGATCTCACTGACGAGATTTTTCTTGAGGAAGATGGTAGCGGACAGAGAAGACTAAGGGCTCCATACATCTTAAGTGGTTGTGCTGTATGCATTGTATTACCCTTATAAATAGTGACCCCGGAACCTTAATGAAATTTTCTAAGCTTTTGCAAAGAAGATTTGTCTTAAGTGGCAAGTAGCATATCTCAAGGCAAACTCAATAAGGAAGGAGGGGATGGAATGGATGTTAGGGTGCATCCCCCCC